CACTATTCCGCACATTAAAGGGGTTTCTCACAGCTGGATTAAAGTAAAACAAATTAAAATTACACAGACACAGACATAGGATCTGGCTCTCCATTTCCTGCCTTCTATCACTTCAAATCTTTTTCCGTTTCCTCCATCAATCGTCACCTTCCTTTGTCTCTCAGGTCTCTCCTCTCTCCTTATTTTCCCCTTCAGTATCTTCCTTCATGCGCGGCTTCCTCCTTCCTTTTCTCTCCCCCTCTCTCTATCTTACGTTCTTTTTTGCTGTTGTCTGTCCTTTATCTGTCCTTCTCCCCTTGTAGCACTTAGTTTCGATTAGGAGAGCAACTGGAAGCCTTTCATTTTGTCCATCTCTCCATGCATTGTTTACTTCCTTCCTACCATCCTTCCCTCCTTCCCTTTCTTCAGCAGATGAGGTTACATGCTGCGATCTGTATGCAGGAAGGGACGTTAAAAGCCTGCCAGTAGGGTGCATACAGCCAGTACCAGCTGTACTTTTACTGATCAAATTTTCATCAAAGGCCCAGGCCTCTTTGAGTCAGAGCCAGACAAGAACCGACAGGGAGAGAGACAGAGAGACTCCACTCCTCTAGCTGCTCCTTGTGTCTGTCTCTAACACCTCTCATCACTCTTTGACTCCTCATCCATCATCCTCCTCAAACCAAAAAAAAAAAATCTCTTTTTTGTTTTCCATCCGTCAGCCTGAAAAAAAAAAAAAAGAAAAAGAAAACTACAAAACACATTTCAGCTCAGACTGCTGACGGCATGTGAGATCATGGATGGTGTGGCGATTGACCACAACCACTCTGACGTCTAAGGTGAATCAAAACCAAATAAAGCTGTTGATTTCAAAAACTGAATTTTTTAGCTGAAAGCAGTTGAACTGTTGCATGACGTTTCAATCTGAGTAAAAGTAACCAAAGCATTGAAATCTGTTGAAATGATAGTTAAACTGGTATATACAAGACATACAGACTGTCACTTCAACTGTATACAGTGCACTTACACCATTCATTGCACAAATTCAATTTCTTCCATCCTTTTACGATTCAAGACATTTTAACTTGCTTGTATGTCTTTCTCTTTGAATGATAGTTCAGCTGCTTTCATCTTTGACACTTTAGCTGACACTTCTGCTGTTTTTAGCGCTTACAAACTGACAATTCAACGGCCTGCAGGGTTTAAATTGTTTTCAGCACTTACACTTCAGTAGCTTTCAACTGCTTCCAGCTCGGACAGGGAAATCAAACACTTCAAATCCTTTCAGTGCTTCACCTTCAACTGACACTTCAAGTGCTTCAACTTAAACTGCGACATCTCAGATGCAAACAATTCACATATAAAGACATTTTAACCGGTTTACAGTGTTTGCACCTGCAATTTTCAAAGTAAAAGCACACAGAAAATTGTGTTTTTTGTAGTAAGATAAGGTAAGGTCTTTATTTTTTGTTTTGGTGACAAAGTCAATCCAAATTCTTCAGAAGTAGTGTACTAATGTCTATATGACAAAAATAATAATAAAGGCTCCTCAGAGGATATTACTTATCAGGACACACACTATAATGTGGTCCTATCAAGTTTCAGGATTATGTGAGAGAAAAAAATAAAATCAGTTTTCAGTTTGTCATTACGGAATACTTTCACTTGGCCTTGTGTTGACAAGGTTTCCCATCTCTAATGAACTTTCTTTCAATTCAGACAGCAACATAACAGAATGCAGAACAAGTCTCTCTAAGATCACACGCTAATCTTCTCTATTCCCCTGACAGTCTCTCTATCTGCTCCGTGTTGCTCTTTGGGTCTGAGGGTTCATCTTCTCTGGAGGTCTGGTACACTCTCATCGAACAGACATTCCAAATGTGGAGTTACCATTAACCACTGTTCGGCATTTTACTATTAAAAACCAGCCAGCACAAATGTACCTGTAGTATAGCTCCACTTTATCTGCAACAGCTTTTATCAGGAGTGTATTGCCAAAGTACTGGTTTTTGAAGATTCAGAGAAAAACCCTCCTAAAATGTATGATGTAACACACTCTTGTAAAAACTCTGCTCAAAACAGGTTTTACAAAATAAAATAACATCAAAACATAATAATAACATAGATACTGATGGTAGAAATGTGTCATACTGTTCTGTTAAGTTCCAGCTTCTCAATGTGATTAAAGGCTCTTTTTCTGTGTGGTTTGTGAATGTAAACTGGATTTCTTTGGGTTTTGGACAGTTGCTTGGACAAAACAAGCAAAATGAACATGTAACTTTGGGGCTTCTGAAACTTTGATGGGCATTTATCACTATTTTGGGCAGTTTACAGTCCCTGTGATTAATTAATTATCATCAGACTAACTGATAATAAAAAAAATCATGCATCTCCTCCTTTACCTTCACTGGACCCAACAGGTATTGATACTGTTGGCACTTTGACCTCCTACAGCCCCTTCAGCTCCACCGAGCTGTCCTTCAACTCTACACCACCAGTCATTCAGTGCTCAACCACCAGCAACATTCAGTCATCCTGTTCATCAGCAACCTTCAGTCCTCCGAGGCCACCCATCAGCCCATCCATCTACCACCTCCATCCTTCAGGGGTCCCTGACCTGGACCTGAACCAGAGGGACCTCTCAAGGCTCTGATGAATTACAGGAAGGGCCTGAACTGATTGACTCTTATATAAAAAAAAAAAGAAGAAGAAATGGAGCCAACAGTGACGGCTGAGAAATGATGAGGAGTCACAGTTGGGCATCACACCTGTTGAGAGGATTATCAGTGAAGATGATCAGCAAGCTACTGTTTCCAATGCGGCTGCTTTTCTTATGATGCTAATTAAAATAAATGTAGGTAATTCAGTCTCATCTTTTTGAACATTTAAATATAAGCTTTTGTTACTTTGCTTTTGGCTCAACTACAGTTTTCAGTATAATGAGTATTTTGTATTGTAATGTATTGTTTCATAATCTGCCTAATGTTTACAATTTGAAACAATTTTCAAAGCAAAAAAAGGTAATTACTGCCGAGATCCAGCACTTGAATTGTGATAATCTGCTACTTCTCTTTCCCTTTATCTGATTCTATTTCTTTGGATTTCAGGTTTTATTGCACAAAACAAGGACTTTGAAGAGACATCGCCTTGGGCTTCAGGAACTTTGTCATTACTTTGAAACATTATATAGATCAAAATAAGCAATGAAAAGATAAAAAATTCAATTGATGTTTTATTGATAATGTAAATACTTGTTAGTTGCAAACTCTACTGGTGTTTAAAGTCCATTTAAAGTACTGTTTAGGTTTTAAATTACTGTGGAGACACATTTACACACTTTTATTATATACAGTATATACAGTTTTATACAGTATGTGTTATATTGTCTCACATTGGTATTGGCTTTGGGGAATTACTGAAAATGATAAATGAATAAGATTTGGTTTAACATTGTAAGATGTCGACAAAAGAGTTGTGAAGATATAAAGCTGTGCTAAAATACTTTGAACTTGTTAAGTAATGCTCAAATATCCATCTTCTTCTCAACTGAACAACTTTGCAGCCGCAACTTTGCTTTAGAAAATGTTCCTCAAATAACAATTATTGTTCTCATTGGTGTCATTATTGCCAGCTTCGTGCCACAGCCCTCTACATCCAGCATTTGACAAATAAGAAATAATGTTCCTCTAGAATTTTCTGTGTGTGCTGAAGCGCTGAAATGCTCATTGAGTTTGTAAATGGGTTTTGCTACCAGAGAGCTCCCAATCTGACTCCTGCGGGCCCCCCCCCCCCTCTCTCCCGGCTAATAAAGGAGCATGGAGCCTCACAACTCTGGTTTCACTCACTGCTAGGTTGATTGTGTCGATTATGCGCGTATATAGGAGAGTGTTTACACCCGCATCTGCGTATTAAAGAGCAGATTAATGCGGCATTGTCGACAGGGGTGAAGATCAAAGTCACTCAGAGTGAAATCCCACCTGGTGACATCAGTTTAAAAACAGAAATGAAGTCTGAAGCTCTTTCAGTTGAAAAAAAATCTCTCTGCAGGTACCAGGTTTTGAGGTTTTGGGTGGTTTAAAAGCTTTTCTGCACAATCCATTCTTTGGTGGGGTCTTAACTTTCATTAAGAGGCTGAGGCGCGTAATTAAAAGAGAGAAAGAAGAGGAGATATTGAGGAAGAGCGAGTTTAACGTGAAATCCCCGCACTGGCAGACCTGAGTGTAATACCTGCTGATGTCATTTTCACAGCCTCTTGTCACTAAGCAGATTCACACAAAACACTGTGCACACAGACACAGCACGAGTGGCACTATGAGGAAAGTGAGAAGCCCTATGGAATCTCGCTGCACTCATTTTTTCTCAGTAAAGCAAGTCTAGAGCAATAATTTGTCAGCAGCCAGACACTTCAGGACATATTCTGCCCCCCAAGGCTGATGGAATACCACCTCTTCTTTTCCCTTTCAACTAAAAGAAAGTTACTCTTTAAAAGTACAACAGTGAAACAAGGGTTTCTTCCATTATCTGAGGCACCTGTTAGTTCATCCTGACATTGAAGACAGCGCTGTGTGAAAAACTAAAGAGCTCAATGCGAACCATTTCGATTAAAACCGTTGTATCCTCAATCTGCCACCACAGAAGACGAGATCCAAGAGCAGCAACATTTACGGTCGTCCTTCAGCCATATTAAAGCAGTCAACAGTTTGTTCTCGCTGTAGTCTATTCTGGCTGGAAGCAAACTAATCAAACTACATAAGAGAGCACCTGCGCTTCAAAAGAGAACTCACCTTGGCACTGGCTAATGGGATATATTTATCTGCACCAGCAATTAAAAGGGGATATTATGTAAGATTTGGAGCATATAAAAGCACTCATTCACTCACTCACTTGTCCATCATCTGCTCTGTACCATCTGTTTGATCAATCAGCCTGCAGTGCAGGCAACAGAAGTCCCTCTTCAAAGTCTCATTCATTGCAGAGGTGTTGTGAGAAAACACAACAGGAAGCTTGTGGATGTTTCTTACCTCTTTTCCAGACAGGTAGTAGGCGGACAGCAGACCTCCAACAAACCGGATGTTCACCTCAAACACAGACACCTCTGCGTTCTGCAGCAGAGACAAAAGAAAAGAAATATGAAACACTGCTACTCGTGAATATACGTTTCTCCTGCTACTGACAGTGAATTAAGCGATTCCAGTGATTCTGGGCTTTTTGTTGTGTTTGGAGGAGGATCAGTCTGAGGTTCCAGACAGATATTTTTCGATTGAAGTAGCCAAAAGTTGATACTGAATAAATTTAAAAAGTGGCTTATTCATTCCTGCTGTGAATGAGTGACAACTGAGCATGATTAATAAATGAGCTACTGAAGTGTTAAGAAAGAGATCTAGGAATATGCGTGTGTTTAAAGTGTACGGGATGTGTGAGGATACCTGCGCTGCATGAGAAGTTTTTAACAGAATTATTTTTATCCTGAACTGTGGATGCTTCAGTAATCATCACACAATAATTTCATATATCTAAAACATGTTTAGCTGTAATAGCAGAGCAGCTCTGTGTTAGACAGTCATTCAGTCAGTCATTCAGTCAGTCAACCATTTGAGTCCAGACTGAAATATGGATTGCCATGAATTTTGTACAGACATTAAACAGGTGCCAGAGGATGGATATGTCTGATATTTGGACATCCCCTATCTTTTCCTCCAGCATCTCAATGAGCGAGCGACATATGTGATTTCAGAGTGAAATATCTCAACGACACTTGTGGATGGAGTGGGGTGATAAATTGTGCTGCGTCTAAACATGCGATGCCTCCATTTCTGGACAGTTTTTTTTACCAGAGAAAATGGGACAAATAATAACAAAAAAATAGTCTCAGCAGCAGAACAATGAAGCTTCATCTCTCTCTCTCTCTCTCTCTCTCTCTCTCTCTCTCTCTCTCTCTCTCTCTCTGCAAACAAATTCCTAAGTCAGATGAAGTTTTTGCATTTGACTGACAGCTCTCATAAGTCACTGCTGTCAGCCAGAGATAGGACAATAGACTCTGTCCTGTAGAAAAAACAAATTATATGTCAGACAAAATGTGTCCTGTCAGTTTCCCACCAACTCGGAGTGACTGCTTGAGGAGATAGATTGTGTAGCCAATTCATCCTAATTAAAATTTAATTATTTCCTCTACGACACACAGGCAGCTCTAATGCAAAAGGACAATATTATTTCTTCATACTGCCTGTCGTCGATTAGCAGTTTTAATAAGCTAAAGTGAAATATTGTTTTATACTAATAACTATTTCAGCTCTAAATATTGTATTCTTGAGTAAACATTGACGGCAGTGTGTTGTGCCACTGCCTTCAGCAGCCATCACTACTTTAAACTGTTCAACAATGACCCTTCGAGTCAGCAGTTGTGTGACGTCGTCTCATTCCTGCAAGAAGGCCTGACGAGGTTGGCAGGCGAGGAGTGGAGTCTCCTGATGTGGCAACATTTAATCCATTACAGAGAGCACAGGAAACTGACTAAGCACGGCCTTTTCCTAACAGAACTATTTAATGGTTGTAGCAAGATGAGGTAATGTTCCAGCTAGACCTCTTTAGATGAAAGTGTATGATTTATTTTGCAATTGGCTAGTTGTGTCACTGGACAAGCTGCGCAGCCGGTCATAAGAGCTTACATTAAAACCATAGTTTTTCATTACATTACGGTTTTTACCCATCGTCCTCTTTATATCTTAAATCCTGAGTTGTGTTTCAGAGCATTTGAGTTCTGACAGAAGACGTCTCAGGAGTGTGATAAACCTTGTGCTCCTGCTCTCTGGCTTTAAATAGATTTAAAAGTGTTGCTTAGCTGCTTGGGTAGAGAGAAAAAAATGGCAGTGACCCGTGTGGCTCCTGCACTGGGACTCTGAGTGAAGTGTTGGAGTTATAATCATGTTTTCTCAGGTTTTGCAATGCTGGCAAAAAAAAAACAAAAGAAAAGTCATTGTACCTTCAAGACTAGAGAATAATGCTGAAGTCATGTCAGTTATTGTCTCTACTTTAAACCCACATTAACATTTAACTGAAAAGTGACTCAAAGGAGCACAAAACTATGACAAACTGCTGTCATTTTATTGTATTTTGGTGTGTTTACTGACAATTCAAAGCCACTAAGTACCTTTGTACTTTGCTTAGGGACTCCTGTATTGATGTAGTCATGCTGCACAAACATTATGTATACTGTATCTGGATTTTGTCATTTCTAACGTCCCATTTGCTACTTCATGTCCAGAGAGACACATTCCTGGCTGCTGTCATCACCTCTGTATTCATAAGTCTTCAGTAAGTCTTTCTTTCCTTCTTTTCTGGGTCTCCAAGGTTTGCACGTCTAAATATGATACATCGCCAAACTCAAGGTGACTGTGCCTTCATTTAAAGTGTCCTACAAGCTCAATGGCAGGATTTTCCTCTGAGAATGTATGTACTGTATATCTAAGACCTACTTTCCTGAATGATTTCACTCGAGTCACTAAAAGTTAATCATCCTTCGTAAGACAAAACATCAGTCCCTGTTTTGTGATTTCATCTCATTTGTCTTGCTCAGTCAAATGTGATGAGGCCCCATTTGTCTCTTTTAAACGTCCCATGCAGTATAAAGGTAGATGTTCATGTCTTTTTTGATTACAAAGCAGGTGTAGGTTCTGTATTAATACTGTGAAAGCATCAAAGTGCTCAGTCTAGCCTGTATTCAGAAACTGAGCCTTAAAACGAGTCCTCACAACTTCTGTAACATTGTGATGTCACAACAAAGCAGTCACCACTCTCAGCCATGCACCAAGCCCCGCCCACCTGGACCCACCTTCTAACCTTGCAGGATTTGGTTTCTCTGAGTGTTTACCTGAAATCTGCTATATTTTTATTGGCTCACTCAGAAAACAGTCAACCAATCAGAAGAGAGGCTCAGAGAATCCTCTCTTCTGATTGGCTCGCCGACCTGTTGTTACTAGAGCTCCACAGTGAATCTTGAGAGAGGATATGTAAAACTACATTGAGATGGTTTTTATATCTTCTTATGGATCAAAACTTTGAATTAAACACTATATAAAATAGTATAAAATATGGGACCTTTAATGGTTTGAAAAACTTTCTAAAATAAGAGAGGAAAACCTTTTGAGAACCTTATTGACATTAGCTAACCTTGTTGACATTTTCAACCCCTCCCAGACTGGTTTCACATTAACAGTCTTCCAGAGCCTTCCTATTAAGATGCACCTGTTGCACAAAGTGCACAAAATGTGGAGCATTTAAGGAAGCTTTAGGTCTCGAAGTTATGCAACCTCAGCAAATGAGCAGAGCAGTTCAGAAAACAATGGGCCTCCTGCTGTGACAGTGCTGTTTGAGTGACAGGACAACTTCTGGTAAATACTGTGAATAAGGGAGGATGCTGCACAAAGCGGTGGCACTGAATATTCCTGTCTGGCAAAAACCTCCACAAGTGAATAGAAGCAACTAAAAAACTCAAACAGTTTTGGATAGAGTACAGTAGGACTGAAGCTGATCTGAAAGTGTAATTAGCTACAGCACTGGGATGTTTTTATCATGTTAGCATGGTATATTCTTTGGCCTTAGAATCAGACCTCAGTCACATAAACGGATATCTGTACACAGAGACACATCCACAGTCACAACTACACTAGAGGAAAGACAAAGAAACTGTTTTTCTGCTCCTCCTTAATGAGCAGCTCTTAACAGGGATATTATAATGAGGATGGTTCTACAACCAAGGCAAACTTCAAAGGAAAGGGGCAAAGTGTGTGTATTTTTGCACAGAAATATCTACATGTTCCTGTGTCATTAAGCTCATCAGAAAAAAGCACAGCAGTCCTTCAGAAATTAGAACAGAAAAACATCCACTCCTACAACACATGGTAACCTTTTATTCATCACATGGATAAGTTTCTCTACGTTAGATTCACTGCTCTAGATTTTTAACTTTTGTGAGTAATATGTTTTTAAAACATCTATACTGTTATTAATTACAAGCTTGAACTGTGTGTGTGTGTGTGTGTGTGTACTGTATTTGCATTTGTGTGTGTGCGCGTGTGTGTATGTAGATGCTAAGCAAATTAAAACCGTGCTTACACATCTCTCCACATTTATAAACTGATATTAAACACAGCAAGAGTTTGATTCCTACTCATACAGCAGTGTTTGAATGTGCTTTTATTTGTGCGTGTGTGTGTGCACTCTCACACTAAGAAGTAAACAGTAATAGACTCATGTATGGATCTATTAGACATGTTTTTGGCATTCTCCCTCAGGGTTTTAGTGATAACACTCTAGGAGGAGGGATCAGAGTCAATACACTCATTTCCTGTCTACACACACACACACACACACACACACACACACACACACCACTTTGAATCTTGTGGTCATGCTCATTGTCTTCCTCAAATCTGATTTTAAGATATGAAAATCCTCTATTTACATGAGTTTTTCTGTAACTGACACATTCGCAGCTCATCGAGTCGAGTTACAGAGACAGAAATCTGTCGTAATGAAAACATCTCAGAAAAAAAAATGGTTTCACTAACTTTAATAAAGCATTAAGTGCATTGTGATCCATTACGAGCAGAGCCCATTAGAGGCCTTGAAAATTGTTTCTTATAACGTAATCTTCCAGGCATCAGGAAATTTCATTATGTTTTATATCATGTCATTAAGGATACATTCACCACATAAAATATTAACACCCAGCAATTTTGAGCTTATTATGTTTATGATATTACAGCTTGATTATACTAATCATCACGTGTTTATGATGTCTTATGAGCACAAGTTAGTGTGGTGAAAAAAGAAAGCACAATTATCTAACTTGTGTTTTTCTCTGGACTCCTTCAAGTTGAAATAATTTGTGAAAATACATTTTTAATGGAATGTTTTCTTGTATTTTAACGCGCACACACACACGCACACACACACACGCACGCACGCACGCACGCACGCACGCACGCACGCGCGCGCACACACACACACACCAATGACTCAGCTTAAACAGGCGGATGGCTAAGTGCAGCAACATCAAGGCCATTTTTCATACACACACACACACACACACTTCCTCTAACATCCAAGTTAAGGCTGCTATCGAAAGCCGTCTGTATTACAGTTCATTTACACTGACCTACATGTGGTGAAACTGAGTCAGACATCTCCATGCTCATCCTGTCACGTCTCAGTATAAAGTTTATTTTAAGACTACTTCATACATTAGGTCTCTTACATAAAGACTGAAGTGTTCAACTGAATCACAGCCATTAAATGTCCCAATAAAATAACTAGCGAGTCTCTGTGCTTTGTTTGAATCACCTAGCATCAAGAAACCAGTGTAATTATGTATTTTCTCTATTATACTATAAAGGGAGCCCTGTGTTAAAGCATATATCCTTGGCAAGGAGTTTTCAAAAAAAAAAAAAAAGTTTGGTTGTTTCTTTGTGTTGTTATGAGAAGAAAAATGTGCGTATTGTTCTGGGTAATGTAGAATGAAAACTTGTTTAAATCAAAGTGATGGCAGGATGTGACACAAATCACATATACTTTTGATTGATCACACATACAGCAGACAACAAAATACAGATACTCCAGACATTCGCCATGTTTCACTCAACAGACCGATTTCCTCCCATATATTGACATTAAACAACCAGACCTGCTTTTCTCTAATCAAACTATTTCCCTCCTCAGAACTACACAGAAGTGGGACGCAGATTATGTTTTCCCTCTTTATGCGTCTGTCAGTCACAGGAGTGCCATAAAAAAAGCATAAGTCTAAAAAAGAATAAGAAAATAAATGTGGAAATATAAACAAATGTAAATAAAAGAATAAATAAGTAAATAAAAAAATGGGGAATGTGAGAAGAATTAATGAAAGAATTTAAAAAATGCTTTTACCAATTGCTTTTGTTTAAAGGAAGAGCAAAAGCAATTGGGAAAAGGATTTTTTAAAAATGTATTATTTATTATTTTATTAATTGTTTGTATTTCCACATTTATTTTCTTGTTCTTTGACAGATTTTATAGTAATAATAATAATGATAATAATAACAACAATAATAATATATTTTATTTATAGGCAAGGCACTCGAGGACACATTACAACACACAGTAAACATTTATGTAAAAAATTGAATTATAAAAAAATGTATTCTTTTTATGGCACTCCTATGACTCCATAGCCAGCAACATTTCTCCAAATGTTACAGATGAATTTGGCTGAAGCTCAGCAGACAGGTGGTGATCTAGATTTGGGATTACTTTCATGTTTTAACTGAAAACTACCAGTATTATATGTTTCACTCAAGCGCTGCTGGGGATAGCCTGATACCCAGGAAGTCGGCGAGTGAACAGGCATCGCTTCCATATGCTGTTTTGGAGGAAACTCATACCCAAATGGTCAAATATAAATGAACAGCATCTTCACAAGGTCCAACTTACCGTAAATTCTCATATAAAAGCTGGTATTCAAATAATGGCCCAATCCCAAATAATAGCTAGGGGCATGGCCAGCATAAACAAATAAAGGTCAGTCACTAATGAAGGCTGGGTAAAATGAAAAACCACAACAGAGGGTGGAATTACCTACAACAAAAGCTCACACAATAAATTCAATCTAATATCCGTTTCCATAGACTACCAATGAGTTTCTGTTCTTAGAACAAATAATGTTTTCATACATTAATTCTTCCAACTTTTCTTTGCTATAGGAAAATGACAATATAAGCCTGTCAAGATAAAGGCCTGGTTTTCTCTGCTGCTGAGGTAAATGAAGGCCCTGGTACTTGATGTTTTTGAAGCTTTCCTCAGTAGGTGGAGTTGCTCAGATGTCATGGAAATGTTGATGCCAACTAAACCATCTCCAGGACAAATGAGCAGCTCCATCTGCTAAGAAATGCCATAAGATGTGGATGAAAGTTGCAAGCTGGACTCAGTCAAAGTCTGTGTAATACCTGCTGAGTCATTTGTGCATCTGGATGTCAGACACGGTGTCCTCATCTCTTGCTGTTCACATATCTTGATCTTGATTGTTTCTTCGGTAAACAATCAGACTCTCTCATTTAACTCTCATCAACCTGAATGAATGTTAATGAAGGTGCCACCTGGGTCAAGAGCTGGGTTTTCAAGGCTCCTATCAACGACTGCCATCAATGATTCAAGCCTTTGTTGAGTGAATTATGACTCCATCATCACAAGGGCACAAACACACATACACTTACATTACTTACCACATTAAAGTCGAGGTTCTTCTCTACCCAATCAGTGGCAGCATCAAATTCTTCAAACATTTCCATGATATAGAGGGTATCCAGAGCATCCACAATTGTTGCTCCTTTTATACTTCCTGCAAGAGACACATATAGATACAGAGCATTAGACGTGGAGAAAGTGACGCTGGCTGCTGTGTTGTCAATAGTGTATTTTACATATAATCTGTCTGCTGAAAAAAACAGAATGCTGGGAAGGAAGGTGGATAAAATAAAAACCTTTAAATTTAACTTCTATAAACAAGCAGAAACTCCCCATGAAGTTCATTGAAATGTTAAAAGCTTATTTGTCAGAATACCATTCATTTCATAAGTATGAATGACAACAGGTGTTGGCAGCAGTCTCGCTGAAAAAGCACTGAACAAACAGCAGACGCGAAGAGTTGAGTTTGGAGGTTGAATAAATTATTTTTGCTCGACAGATGGTGAGAGGCAGCGATTATCAGCACTGATGAAACGTCGGGAGTACTGCTCATCTCTAGTGATTAGCCTCATAGCAGGGGGGAAGACACACAGAGATACAAACCATCATTTCAGCGCCGTCATTACCCAAACCCCCTAATGAATCCAACAACACTCCAACACCTTAGTCTGTGTTTGTGTCAGAGAGCTCAGTAAAGCATTACGCATGTAGCACAGGGCACCTCTGCAAAAAGCTTTTAGTCCTCACATACTTGTTATAAACACAGGACCTCCTCTGTTGCAGCCGTGTGGCCACTCTGAGGTGAGAAGGAAAATGTAAAAAGACAGAAATGGAAGATGGGGAGGTGAAGAAAAAAAAAATGGAACATTACAATAAGTAAGACAGAGAGAGCAGAAATGAAAACATTAATAAATCACCCTCAGGAGGCCAACCTTCAGAGAGAGGGCAGGGAGTAACAGTAGAATGAAAAACAATGAGGAGGGAAAATTCTGAAACAATAATAAGGCTAGAAAAACAGTCCGAGTCAGAGGAGAGGACGTTTGAAAAGGCCACAAAGTAGTGTCAGAATGCCAGTAAGATGCTGGATTGATATTGTGTGAATCTGTTGGTTTATATCTCTGTGTAAGTGGTGTGAGGATTAAGCAGCAGCTAAAAGCTTTCCATTAAACACAATGCTGAATCATCTGGAGGCACAGAGCCACTGTTGTCCATCAAAACGACATAGTACTGTGCTCACTGTGACTATTATTTCTTAAAATCACCACAGCAAGATGACAATTCTATCAACTGTGAATCGCTATGAGGATGATTTTGATTACAAACCTTACAGATGAAATAATGGTATTTAACCCGATGTGGAGTAGTGAACTGCTGCAGATGGTACGGGTTTGTTTGTTTGCTTTCCGAGAGAAGAGAAGATCGATACCACACTTGTAACACTGAGGTCAGAGGCGATTAGCCTAGCTTAATATTAAGACTCGAAGCAGGAAAGATATATAACAACAAAAAGAATTTGTTGCGGTTTGTTGGTAGTTTCATGCTGAATCTATTTCTTGACAAACAACATTCGGGCGCCTTGACCTGCTGATTCCTCACAGTGAGGTTGCCAGGTTTGGTACGAATTTAACTGTAGAATAACCTATATTAAAACACGTCCCAGCAACTGTATCTGGCAACTCATGATCTCTGTTTTTGTACGGATTTAAAAAACGGAGGAACTGGCGGAAGTGGCTGGGGAGAGGGCCGTCTGGACCTCTCTGTTGAGGCTGCTGCCCCCGCGACCCGGATCCGGATAAGCGGGAGACGCCAAGACGAGACGAAATATATGTGTATTCACACAGAACCAGGCCAGCTGTTTCCACCCTGCTTTCGTTCGTTACTCTAAGCTAAGCTAAGCTAAGCTAAGCAAATCGCCTCACAGATATGAGCAGTATCGATCTTGGAATCAAACTACTGTTTTAAAAAAAAGAAGGTTAGACTGTCAGATGATAGTGACAAGGAAGTAAAGGAAGAATTGCACATATCTGTGCAAGTGTCCCAAACTTTTAACAAAAGGCCATCAGCCGACTAAGCGCATTTATTAGTCGTCTCATATTTTTCAATACATTCCCTCAAGCCATGCTACAGAAACACAGAGCATGTAAATGGAGGTGTCAGCAGATACAGTCACTTGTCCTTCCTGTTTTTCATCCCTCTCACATTTTCGCTCCATTGAAGCCCCCAGGGCGACAAAGAGAGGACAAGACACTTTACTCCTGTCCATTGTCTTGTCACTGTGCTTCCTTCCCCCTCATTGCTCTTCCTGAATCTGTGTGTGTATGTGTGTCTGTCTATGTGTGTGTGTGTGTGTGTGTGCATAATGTGAGAGACACAGATGGTCAAATGGTGACTGGAATACTAATATTAAATATAGAAAAATACAAGAAATTTGAGAGAAAGCGAAAGGTTTGCATGATTTTTGTTCTTTTGCTGGGGAAAATATTTTTGAATGTACATACATATTTCATGTATTTGTATTTAAACATATATATTTCTAGAAACTATGTCCCAAAAGTTGTACAATTTGAATTTTGAACAGACTGCTGATTGTATGTTATTGTTATTCTCTATATATAACTATATGGAAACAAATTCTTACTTATTTTCATTTTCATTTTTTGAAAACTGCAGAATTTTGTTGCTGCTCAAACCTCAAAACTAATTAGACATTCCGGAATTAAATGAGTGATATTTTTACCATATCAATTTAAATATTTCAGTCATCATTATGAGATACGGAACATTAAAAAGAGAGATGTTCATTATAATTTGTGATCCATTCATTGGCTTCTACTGACTGCATCTAATTTTGTGAAAATATGAAAGTTTTGCACGAAGCTGTCACTCCAGTGCAACGTAAAAAAACATCTAATGGTAAGTTTTGGTTGCTGTATCTCCATGAGGGGAACATTTTCAGTGAAGAAAAGGGGTGAGGGTTTTTTTTTTTTATTCTGCCATGATGGAGAGCCATGGTTGTTCTAACGGGACTTGAAAAGGAAAATGTTAGTTTGGTTGGAGTAGATAAGTCAAGAGCTGACACAATTAGTGGAATAACCCATTATTCACAGAAAATTAATCTCTGACTACTTTGAAAATCAATTAATCATTTCGAGCAGAAGTGCCAAACATGCAAGTTCAGTACCAGCTTGTCACATGAGAGGCTTTGCCGTTGTCCTTGGTCATGCATGACTTTGAATCAATATTCAGTGTGGTGTAGTGTGGAACTGTTGGTCAGACAAAACAAACCATTTTTTTTTTTGTTTTTGACCAAGAGAAAGACCAAACATTTGTTCACAACATCAATCAAACCAGATTAATTGATTGTTTAAAAAAACAATCATTAGTTGCTGCAGTAGATTGTTTACTTCATCATCTTCTTGGTCATTTATCCATCTTGACCATTAATCTATTATACGAATTGTTAAAACATTAGTCCCTTCATAAAGCATGCAGATGACACTGCTCACAGATTGGGGCTTTAAATAAAAAGATCTGTGATATTGGTGAGACAGCTTGTGCAGGGCCATGATGACAAGGAGCACCAAGAATCTGCTAAAATCAGCTTGTTACCAGATCTGGGATATGTGTCTGTGTCCAGATGGAAAGGTTATAAAAATTGAGATGGGATTCAGCCGAGAGCCAAGTCCAGTGATCTTGGAGATGATGTGTGTGCTGCTGAAGATTTTGTTTCTGTTAGCGGCTGTGAGCATGGTGAGGTAGCAGATGGCTCAGCAGAGGGCAGCGTCTCTGATGCTGCTGCAAAGCATGAGTGGTAGCGGAGGAGGAGAGGCTCTAAGATGCTTCTGTAAAGAAGGAGCAGTAGGGGAGGACAGGCCTTATGATATTTGCTGTAGGTGGTTGGCTTGTCACACTGGGAGAATTCTTACATTTGTAAAAGTTCTTTCCAGAAAACCACAAACAGCCGTGTTTCCACCCACAACAACAAGCCTCGTCTGCCTCTAGAGCTGCAACAATTTGTAAATCAACAGAAAAGCGATTGGCAACAATTCTGACAATCAATGAATCACTTAAGTTAATTTTGAAGCCAAAATGTCAAAAATTCCCTGACTTCTGAAAATGTGATGATTTGTTACTTTTTCCTGTTTAATATCATTGTAAACTGAGTGATTTTGGGTTTTTCTGCTGGTCAGACAAAACCCATGTGATGATGCCACTTTTGCAGGGATCAATTACTGAATGGAGCGACCGGCACAGGACCAGGGGCCCAGGGACCCAAAGGAACCACAAAGAGACACAGAACCTTTCAGACTGTGTGTGTTACTCCTACAGAGGATAGTAAGGGGGTCTTTTGTATGTCTGTGACCAGGGGGCCCATTGTCTCACAATGTGCCCAGGTGGCCTACCCAGGTAGATTAAGACCCGCCCAAGTACGTTAAGACCCTACCAAAGTAGATGAAGTGCTTCCCTGGTAGATTAAGACTTTCCCAGGTACATTACGACCAGCCCAGGTACATTAAGACCAGGCCAGGTAGATTAAGCCTGCCCAGGTACATATAGACCCACCCATGCAGATTAAGACTTTCCCAAGTAGATTAAGACCTGCCCAGGTATATTAAGACTTGCCCAGGTAGATTAAGACCACCTCAGGTACATTAAGACCTGCCCAGGTAGATTCACACCAGCCCAGGTAGATAAAATCACTCAATATTTTAGGACACCTTATTTCCCACTTTTCAAACTATCTCATTTTTGGCAACACACCTCTATGAGTGCCTAGCTAGCCTAGCTAGCCTACTCATTCATATCTGAATTTGAGGCGTTTAGGAAACATCTGCATGCCGGTTTGTGGCAAATTTAACCTCACCGACCTGTCACTCAAAGCAGCATGCCCTCAATTATGCAGGACTTTAAGTCTCACTAAAATTTAAATGGGTGAGTGAGGAAATTAGCCGTAGAGACCAAAAGTTTTTTGTACCAGGCTGTGAACATGTTTATTTCTACTGTAAAATTTGACCTTTTAACATGGGAGTCTATGGGGATTGACTCACTTTTGGAGCTAGACTCAAGTGGCAATTAGAGGAACTGCAGCTTTTTGGCACTTCCGTGTTGGTTTCATTGTTCACCCCTAGAGGTTGCCGCTTGGTATTTAGTAAT